TTGTGTAAACCACTGATATTTTTCTGTCCCTAGAACATAGCACTTGCCTTCGCACTGTTATTTTACTCTGATGAGTTATCTTCGGCGTTACTCTCGGCTCGTTTGTTCGTGTAATCTGACACTACCCAACTTGAATTTACATCACCACAGTAAAGGTACCTGAAAGCAGAATTGTTTTCCCGCCTCAGTCCCCAGGTCGCGGAGTCGACCACTAACCCAATAGTTAATCGTGAGTAACATAAACCTCGAGAAACTGAATAGATGATCGCGGACACTCAGAGGCAGCGCTCGAAGGCGCAATGGGGTTTCGCTTGGCTGTAGATCTCCATTATAAAATCCCGAATATGTCTGTCGATTCCACTGTGATGTAACTATCGCTGCTGAATAAAGTCACCAGCTCCTATCTTGTTCCATCTACCCGTCATGGTCTTTCGGAACTGACAGTTGAAGAGCACATTAGTTCACCAGTTCGCCTTGAGTAGTTCTATTGTCCTGCAAGCTGCATTTGGATGTTTTAATGTTAATTGTGCAGCCTCATACAAAAGGGTGGAATTGCGGTGCTGCTAGCCTACTTAATCCTGACTGAGCGAGCGAATAATAAAACAGCCCCTAAAGATGCTCGGGACAACGTTCCCTGAACCACCTCTGTGTACTATTGCGGATAGATTGCATAAAGTCGAAATGTTCCCCAGCTAAATTAGTCAGCAATTCGAGTACTCCTATTCTTTTCTTCATATTCCTACCAGCTTTGGTCAAAACCGGCAGTCCTTTAGCCTTGAAGCGCAGTGCATCCGTATAACATGCGATATTCCCGTAAAATTCCCAGTAAAATTCTCACATGTAACACAAACAGTGTATTGTTTTGCATTCACAAGCCGTGAAATAAATCAAGTGTGATACCACAGAAATTTGAATGTATATCGTTCCGTTCTGTTCAGGATAAATTACCAGTCTGAGGATAACAAACACAATTCACAAAAGGGTACCCCAATTACTATCATCAGTTTACTAAAGCTGCAACATTTGACATAATTACCACGGTGGGAGCTCGTCTAATGCTTGATGGGAAGAAGTGTACCGAAATGGGTGTCTTCTTTAACGGTGTTTCTTATCCTCGGACTGTTAATCTATCTACATCTCGTGAACAGAGTTCGCTTTAGGTAGAGATACGGAAGGGTATGCATTCACGTTTTTGTGGTATCACTTTGGATTTATTTCAAGACTTGTGATTGCAATGCAATGCTCGTTTGTGTTGCATTTGAGACTTTTGATCTGACTAGCCTACAGCGGTGTGACTGAAGTTTGTGCGTGTGCATGGTGGGTTTCGGCTAAAGGATTACGAGTCGAGGCTCAAGGATTGCGGAATTAGGCTAAAGCCTAATGGGTAAAGATGCAATTGGTCGTTCCGAAGGAGCTACATACACTTTCGCATTTATCCGATTATGCCACGGTCAGCATCATTATGATAATTACTGTCTTTCGAGTGAAGAATGCACCTGAAATAGCGTTTCTAATGGTCTGTTCGTCTGATCGATCTTGCGCGATTGGTGGTCATGAGTTTGTTTACACACACGTGTATGTATGTGAATAAGTCCAACAGGGGAATAATGTGAGCTAACCAGTTCGCATTCAAACATCGTAATTTCGTGAGTCTGGTCTGAGTATTTTGTGTTTTTATTCACTCGGTGTAGTGAATATCGGAAGTACTGTAATCTCGATTTCCTTGTTAATTCATTCTTTGTCCAATGCTGAACCATATGTCTCACTCGTTGAACTATAAGGATTGCACAGCTGTAATCAGGCTGTGAAAAGATGCGAGGGGGATGACAAATGATGCAAGAAAAATAAGAACCTAATGCGACGAAGTTGAGTAACAAACGAGAAGCTGTAGGTGACAGTCTGTTGTCACTGGCATTTTGGATAGATTGCATTAGTCAACCCGGGACTTACGGGGAACACGGAANTTCCGTTAGCTACTGGATGAGTTCGAAGTTGATCTTGCCATTTATGTAGAACTTCGCTGATTCTTTTATTGTATATTTGCACCATTGTTAAATACCTCGTCAAGTGTGCCTCTCAATACCAGAAATCTGTAGGCAATTACATTTGGTTAAAAAAATAGGGTTTTATTCAATGGAACTTCTGTCTCAGTCAAATTCACTCACCAGGCTATTGAGGGTCTAGACTAAATCCAATCATGAAATGAGTCATGCCAACGTTCACATCTAAACTTAGTGATTGATTTATCGATCCATCTTGACGTGACTCGCTTTGCTACTCGGCCGACCGAGGTCTGTTAACCTCGTTTTTGTTCAGTTCACTCGATCAATGGTCAAGGACACAGCGTTGAATGGCTGGGGATCAACAGTCAGACCCCACCCCACCGAAACTTTCATCTTTTCTCAATAACTCGCTCAGAGTACATTTGTTTGTCTGTCAAAAAATCAGTTCACTTTAACTGGACAGGGTTTTTATAGGCTTGGTCCAATCGGTGACGTGTGACGACTGGAGCACCAATCAGTTTGTGGGGTTTCTGATAGAATATGATTGGTTGGATTCATTCGAAGTTACGGCGGAATCTCTTGAAGGGACATCAGATTCACTTGAAGTTGCAAAGGTGTAAAAGAGGATTCAGTGCGATTTACAACTAACGGTTGCGTTCCCGTTGATGACTGAGATGTAGTTTTACAAAGACATCAAACTGAAGGATACATATCCGACAGAGTCAGCGGGGTTCAACCGCGACGGTGCCGTGCTTCCTGCCAGACACTACCTAAAGCATGGTACAGTTGTTCCGACTTACGAAACTGAAACCGTTCAATGTGCAATGGGTAGTTGGTAATTACTGTTCGAAATATGATGTTCCTTCCCCATTTACATTAGACTATTCTTCAGTAGTGGCAAGTGTTGATCACCCTTACTTTCGTATCTCCTGCATCTTAAGGTACCTGTTGTCTCGAAATTTGTACATTCTATTCGGATATTTGATGCATATCTAATACTGACTACGATGTATGTATTCTTAGATGTGCATATTCTCATTGGCATCGAAACTTTGTACACTCTTGCTGTGCACACAAAAGCCCGCCATCTTCGGGTTTTGAATCGTAGACTCCCGCCGTATCTACTCGCTTGTTCACATGATCATAACGTAACTGCAAATTCTGGTCTCGTAATCAAAACAGCGTACCAATTTGGAGTTCTCTCGGACTCATTACCAAACACATGACTCGTTCATCCTTCTACTCGGCCCTATTGAAATTGTTTCGTACACATGGAATTGAAAAGAAATTCACCGAAAACATGTTCGCCCACATTGTATCCTCATGAATGTGATAACCATATGTTCGAGATATACGTGCAAATATGGATGTTCTGGTGCGGAATTTCTGTGCGATTAGTATTTAACGCAATCTCCCGTGCTTGCAACACGAGTAGGCAAATAACAGAGATTAATATCTGAAACACCAGTGTGATGAACGGTGCGGATGTTGGTGCGTTCTCTCAGCCGAAAGTATTGTTCGCAAACGTTTCGTAGCGGAAGTTGTACGGATGATGTTGCCTAGCCTGGCTGCGAAACTGTCCGCAGTTCGACTTGGAGCCAATCCAGTTCTGAGCATTGCAGTGCGGGTTCTCGTATTCCTACATTCAGTACTTTTCCGATTACCACAAGTTAATGTCGCACAAT